GGCGGGTCTCAACCCCGCGGGCTCAGGCAATCCACTCACCTCAGCCTCCCAAGGCGCGGGTTACAGGCTGAGCCACCGAGCCTGGCTGGTGTATAGTTTTAATTGGTGGAGTTTTAAAGCCAAAAAATCCCCCAAAAGAATAAGAACAAACTACTGTGTGTGCCAGGCGCTGTCCTAATCACCCAAATGCTTCATCTCATTGAGTTCTTACAGCAACACCGTGAGTACATGCTGTTGTTATTCTCTTACTCCAAACATGAAGAGGAAAGAGACTTCGAGACATTAAATACTTTGCCCTTCATCACCAGATAGCACGTGACAGAGCCTGGATCCATGTACTAGGAGTTCCTCATATTATATGCTGTCTGTACTCAATATGCCCTAGTCTACAATACCTCACTATAATATTGGTATGGAAACTGAGACCAGCGAGGGACTTGCTAGGGTCTCCCAGTCCATGGCAGAGCTGTGGGATATGGCCCCTGGCTCCTGGTCCCTTCACTACACAACACTGCCTCTCGATGATCTCTGCTAGCCTGTGTCCAAACTCCAGGCTCATCTCTCAGAGAAGTCTGGCAGCTCTGGGGCAAACAGTGGCTTTGGGCCTTTCGGTCCAGTTGCCCAAGTGGGAGTCACAACCAGGCAGCCAAACGTGTTCCTGCCAGGCCAGGGGGCTGTGTGGGGTGAGGGGTGGGGTCGCTTGTCTTTGCTGCTCCCCTGCCCTGCAGCCCAGCAACAGTTTCCTCCTGCCGGGTCATCTGTGGAGGTCAGGGTCAGGCAGGGCAAGGCTGGGGTCAATGTCCTCAGGAGTGTGTGTCCACAGGTCAGTTCCTGTCCACACCCCTGTGGACCCCAGGGATATGCTCAGCCCCCATTCTCTGCCAGAAATCTCACGCCGGCAGCCATGATAACCTTGAGCCCATCAGAGCAGCGCCAATCCAACAAAGCACAAGACAGTACCAGGAGCGCCGCTGCAAATGCTATCTAGCTTAGGTGATAGTTCTTTTTTCTTTTTTGTGTCAGGGTCTCACTGTGTTGCCCAGGCTGGAGTGCCGTGGCACGATCACAGCTCACCACAGCCTTGACCACCTGGGCTCAGGCGATCCTTCCGCCTCAGCCACCTGAGTAGCTGGGACTACAGGTATATGCCACCATGCCCACCTAATTTTTCTGATTTTTGTAGAGATGAGGTCTCACTCTGTGGCCTAGACTGGTCTCGAACTCCTGGGCCCAAGCAATCCTCCCTCCTCGGCCTTCGAAAGTGCTGGGACAATAGGAATGAGCCACCATGGCTAGCCTTCTTTCTTCTTGTTTCCAACATGTGTAGAGAAGGTGGGAGGGAGTAATAGGAGCCTAAAAAGGCCACAAAACCAAGATCTAAGTTGAACTCAAAAGAAGCCACACGAGGAGGCTGTGGGCGAAGGGTGATGTCAGCCGCTGTGAGAAGAGGTTGTGCTGTGTCAGGCCAACCTGGCCTTCTAGTAGGGAGCCTGGAGTGAGCGGTGCTGAGAATCAGTTCTGGGGAGTCCTCAGTGACACAGGATGGGCAGGTGCTGGCTCTACGTGGAGTCCTCAGGTGAGAACCCCGGACTGTATTGGAAAGTGACAAGCCTGGATGTCAGGTAGGTGGAGTGACGTCAGTCAATAGAGAAGAAAACCCCTGGAAGACTGGGGCTCTCAACATTGCTGTGATACATGGACTAGGGCACCTTCCCACTGAATTCTACAGAATACTTGAGCACAGGGTTGGTGAAACTAAAACAGGTCAAAAGGAACAGGAAAGCCTTCTTGTCCCAGTGAGATGGGTGGGAGGAGAGAAGCAGACTCCCATCTTATTTCACATTTATTCCCCTGTACTCTGGAATTTCTCCTTCTGTCCTGCAGGTACGATTCAGCGATTAAAGACCTTAAAGAGGCCTTGACGCAGCTTCGAGGGAACCAGCTGATAGACTACAAGATTCTGGGGCTGCAGTTCAAGCTGTTTGCCTGTGAGGTAAGGAGGACAGGGCCCGGCCTGGACAGGAAGGGATTATGGCTAGACAGATAGCTGACAGGTCAGAGGAACAGCAGACTGTTACTACTCCCAGGAGTTGGGGAAGGTCATTTTGCCTTCTGTACCTTGGGACTCAGATTGTCCCTTAGAAAAGACTGAGAGGATTACATCAGGCTCCAGGGAGCCTTCCGTCACTGGAGGGCAAGTATTTCATTATTGTGAGGCTCACAGGACCATTAAAAATGAATCCACTGGGGGCCCTAAAGGGAGGCTGGACACATATGTTAGCCTGTGAAAGTATTCAGAATACTCTGCATGTTTTGCTTAGCAATTCCGGTTGGCAAGCTATTTGTTCAACTTCATATTAACAAATCCAAAATCATGAGTTCACTGTCCAAGCAGGACCTACTGAAACCTTGCTCAGTTCCCAACTTACATACCACACTCTTTTTTTTTGACACAGGGTCTCACTGTGTGGTTCAGAATGGAATGTAGTGGCACAATCATGGCTCACCGCAGCCTTGAGCTCCTGGGTTCAAGTGATTCTCCTTTCTCATCCTCCCAAGTAGCTGGGAAAATAGATGTGCACCACCACATCCAGCTAATTTTTTTATTTTTATTTTTGTAGAGACAAGGTCTCACTATGTTGCTTAGGCTGGTCTCAAACTCCTAGGCTTAAGAAATTCTCCTAAAGTGCTGGGATTATAGGCATGAACCACTGACCTGGCTTTGTTTGTTTGTTTGTTTGTTTAAGAGATGGGGGTCTCACTATGTTGCCAAGGCTGATCTTGAACTCCTATCCTCAAGTAATCCTCCTGCCTTGACCTCCCAAAGTGCTGGGATTATAGGCATGAGCCATGGCACCCAGCCCAGACCACACTCTTTACCATTAATGGTTCTTACTCCATGTACTTTGTTGAATCCCAAAGAAAGAATGAGAATAATTTGTCACAAATCTGTTCTCTCTTGCTCAAAGAACAATTCAAAGCACAAATTTAAGTACAGGTTTCCCTGGAAGAACAACTTATTTTCTGTATTATCAAAAGAGAGAGACATGACTGGCTTTGACTGCAAGTTCGTGGACTTTTTCCAGTCAACCTTCCCCAGCCCCTCCCACCCTCAAATATATGCCAGTAACTTTAAAAATGAAAATTCTTGCAAATGTCACAGATCGTTCTTTAGACGAATTGCTTTAAAAAGTCCCCTGGCTTTAGTTTCTCAGGCACAAGAAGTCAAGAGTTCCCAGGGTCGCTAATAATAGAGTCTGCAGCTGGCCATGGCCCCTGGGGACATGTGGCCCCATCCCAGGCCCGTAGCAGGCTAGCAACTTACTTCATTTCTTACAGTCTGGGCAAATGAGGCTCTGCATTGGGAATTGGCTGGCCTCCGACCAGCTTCTAGAACGGAGTTGCCCAACCATAGCACCTCGATATATTGGGCAGGACAGCCCTTTATGGTGGGGGCCTCGTCCTGTGCATTGCGGGGAGTTCAGCAACATCCCTGGCCTCCACCCACTAGTTACTAGGATCACTGTTGCCTCCCACTTTTGTGACAACCTAAAACATCTCTGAATATTGTCTAAATGGAGAACCACTTAGACGGATTTTAAAAGTTGGGGCACCAAGGAACTCGAGGATTCCGTGAGAGGAACATCCCCTCATAGTTGAGGTTGAAATCGCCCGCGAGACAGGAAATACTGAATGAGTAAGCCTCTCTGCAGGTAAGACTGGACTTTTCAGAATCTAAGGCCCCCTCTCCACATTGGACTCTCCATCATTTTCCTACTTTTTCTTTCTTTTTTTTTTGAGTCGAAGTCTCCCTCTGTCACCCAGGCTGAGTGCAGTGGCATGATCACAGCTCACCGCAGCCTTGACCTTCTAGGCTCAAGCAAGCCTCAGCCTCTCAAGTAGCTGGGATTACAGGCTCGTGCCACCATGCCTGGCTAATTTTTTAATTTTTTTGTAGAGACAAGGTCTCTCTATGGTGTCCAGGCTGGTCTCAAACTCCTGGGCTCAAGCAATCCTCCCACCTTGGCCTCCCAAAGTGCTGGGATTGCAAACATGAGCCACCATGACTGTCCCTATTCCCTTCTTATAATCCCTTATAATCCTGCCACAGTGTAACCTTGGCTTCTGAGAAATCACATGATTATTTTTGAAGAGTGTCAAGGTTTTTCTAGACATCAAGTCATAAAAGCCAATTGTGGGAAAGACTTTCAGAGAAGGTGATTGCGAACCAAATAGAACGTTTCAGACTGTTTCAGTTCTCTTTTCTTTTTGCACACAAGATCAGGGCTGGCCCAGCAGCCAGTGGAGGCAGAGGCGGCAGCTCACGGAGGCTCAGAAACAGGCCTGAGGGAGCCCCGGTCTCCACTTCCAGGCTTGGTCCTGACTCCCATCATCCAGCCACTGACCCCATGGGAACTGACCCTGCCACCCATCTATGCCTGAAAAGTTAATGGTGTCTGTTGGCAGGAGGCCTCAACTTTTTCCACAAGAACTTCTCCTTAGGGCTGCCCAAGGCCCCCCAAGACTTGGTAGCTGACACCTCCCAGAGAAAGTGATCCGAGAGAAAGTCAAACAGAGTGTTGGTGTCTGTTATAACCTAGCCTCGAGTGCCATGCCCCTTATTTCCATAGGATCCTATCTTTTTAATTTCTCTCAGTCATTTTTTTTAAAGCTGGGTGTAGTGGTTCAGGCCTATAATCCCAGCACTTTGGGAGGCCAAGGCAAGAGGATGGCCTGAACCCAGGAGTTCAAAGACAGCCTGGGCAACATAGTGAGACTTCATTCCTCATTTCTACAAAACAAACAAACAAACAAACTTAGCCAGGCATGGTGGTGCATGTCTGTAATCCCAGCTACTCGGGAGGTTGAAGTAGAAGGATCGCTTAAACCCAGGAGGTTGAGGCTGCGGTAGCCATGATTGTACTACTGCACTCCTGCCTGGTCGACAAAGGGAGACTCCAGCTCAAATAAAAGAGTCATTTTAAAAATCTTGCTAATGCATCCAAAAGATTATTTGAGTCTGTATGTAAGTTGCAAAGCATAAGAAATAAGATAAACACTCGTGAGCCTGCAACCCAACCCAGACCTGGAAAATCTGACTACTGAGGAGTTTGCTGTTCCCTCCCCACCCCAGGCGAAGCCTCCCTGGCTGCTGTGCTGAGTCTCCCTCCAGCTCTCTGGATTTTTGCCTGTGGAGTCTCCCCCATGCATTGTTACCTGACAGTCTTGTGGCTCCTGTGGATTGGGCCAGGTGCTGCTGGCGCTGGTGCAGGACGATGCACCTGGAAGCCTCTCCCCACACTGCACCGTCCAGTGTGTCAGCCCAGGCTCGGTGTCAGGACCTTGACTGGAAGACCACACACCTGCATTATATTCCTAGCTCTGTGTCTGCCTCGTAAGGGGCCTTGAGCAAGCCATTCTTCTCCATGGTAAAGCAGCACAACCATTATTTTTTTTAAAAACCTGGTTTGAACACACTGTATACAATAGTGCTTGCCCCTCCTGGCCTGCTGGGCTATTGGAAGAATGCACTGATGCTGGATTTATGTGTTACATGATGTTTTCCTTTCTCTCTCTCTCTCTCTCTCTCTCTCTCTCTCTCTCTTTCAAGCTGGGGGTTCGCTCTGTCACCCAGGCTGGAGTACAGTGGCATCATCACGGCTCACTGCAGCCTCTACCTTCTGGGCTCAGGCAATCCTTCTGCCACAGCCTCCTGAGTAACAGGGACTATAGGCATGTGCCACCAGGCCTGACTAATTTTTTGCAGAGAAGAGGTCTTGCTATGTTGCCCAGGCTGGTCTCGAACTCCTGGGCTCAAGTAATCCTCTCGCCTTGGCCACTCAAACCCTGGAATTACAAGTGTGAGCCACCACACCCTGCCGAGTTTACTACTCTTGACTCCTTCTGGGTTCCCTCTCTCAGTAGATAGCATCACCCAGCTACCTAGGATTTGGAAGTTTCCCCGGATGCTTCCCTTTCTCTCACTTCTGTTTTAATTAAAAAATTTCTGAGTTGGGGAACTTGCTCTGTTGCTCAGGCTGGAGTGCAGGGGCACGATCACGACTCACCATAGCCTCGACCCCTTGGGCTTGAGCGATCCTCCCTCTAGGCCCCCTGACTAGCTATGACTATAGGTGTGTGTCACCACACCCAACAAACTTTTTGATTTTTTTTTTTTGTAGAGATGAGTTCTCACTACATGATGTTTTCTTAACGCCACACTCATGCTTGACATAACTCCATAGCAAGACTAATTGTGCTATGTTTTTCCTATTCGCAGGAGAGTCGAGAAAGGGAGAAACGTTAGCAGATAGCGTGCCTGCAGTATGCGTGTGAGCCCCTCCCTGGCATCTTAATTGGAGTAGTTGCAAGTTGTATGTTGCGGTTTGTACTTTTCTAGGTGCTCTATAATGTTGCTTTCATGTATGCCAAGAAGGAGGAATGGAAGAAGGCTGAAGAACAGCTAGCACTGGCTTGCAGCATGAAGTCCGAGCCCAGACACACCAAGATCGACAAGGCCATGGAGTGCGTCTGGGTAAGCATGTTGGCGAGGCAGGTGGTGAGAGATTCCATTGGATTCTCATTTATCTCGGAGGACACGTAATTGAGAAACCATAAAATCGGTGTTTTTCAGGCTGGACATGGTGGCTCACACCTGTAATGCCAGCATTCTGGGAGGCTAAGGTGGGAGGATTGCTTGAACCCAGGAGTTTGAGACTAGCCTGGAAAACATAGTGAGACCTCATGTTTACAAAAAAGCAAAAAATTAGCTGGGCATGGTGGCGCATGCCTGTAATCCAAGTTGCTTTGGAGGCTGAGATGGGAGGATCCCTTGAGCCCAGAAGATCGTGGTTGTGGTGAGGCATGATCGTGCCACTGCATTCCAGCCTGGGTGGCAGAGTGAGATTGAACTAAAAAAAAAAAGTGGTGCTTTTGCTTTCTGTGAGTCTGGGTGATACTGATCTTTGGGTAAGTTCTATTCAAGATCTTGAATCTGTGCTGAGAAGCTGAGGTTTAGACTATGGGATGGCAGAGATTCTGCGTCACTGCCCTTGGAGTGGGGTCATGTGGCAGTGTGGGAAAGAAGATATCGGAGGCTGGAGTGATGCTGTGCAACTTCTAAGCACTGAGATGGCTGCTCAGGTCTGCTTGATGACCACCAAGTCATCACAGGTTGGTACTGTGCCAGGCACATAACAGCTCTCAACAAAAATGCATCAATTATATGAATTAGTGTTGAAAAATTAGCCATAGTTTGAGCATATTTGGGAATGAAGCTAGTTTTAAATCTGATGTTTGCTTTTTATTTTTATTTTATTTTATTTTTATTATTATTATTTTTTTGAGTTGGCGTCTCACTCTGTCACCCAGACTGGAGGGCAGTGGCCGCTCCCGGCCACCGCAGCCTCGACCTGCTGGGCTCCGGCGATCCTTCCGCCTCAGCCTTCTGAGTAGCTGGAACTACAGGCATGCGCTACTACATCTGGCTAATTTTTTTTAATTTATTGTAGAGACGAGGTCTTGCCAAGTTGCCCGGGTGGGTCTCCAACCCGCGGGCTCAGGCAATCCTCTCGCCTCGGCCTCCCAAAGTGCTGGGATTACAGACTGAGCCACCGAACCCGGCCCTTTAACTTTTTTAATAATGGAGTCCTGCTCTGTTGCCCAGGCTGGAGTGCAGTGGTGCGACCATAGCTCACTGCAGCCTCAAACTCTTGGACCCAAGCTATTCTCCTACCTCAGTCTCTCGAGCAGCTGGGATTACAGGTACACACCACCACACCTGGCTAATTTTTTATTTTATGTAGAGATGAGGTCTTATTGTGTTGCCCGTGCTAGTCTTGAACTCTTGGCCTCAAGCAATCCTCCTGTCTTGGCCTCCCAAAGCACTGCAATTACAGGAATGAGCCACCATGCCTGGTCACCAATCCCAAGACAGTACATGTCTTGATGGGGTCCTGGGACACGGAGTGGTGGTGGTGCCCCTATGCTGTGAGAGAGACCTACAGACACCACATAGAGTGGAAGGGGGCAGTCCCTCTAGTAGAAGAGGGTGCTGAGCGAATAGCATCAACCACTGTCCACGCAGCCTCTCAGCATAAGGTGATATTGTAGCCAACTGCTCCCGCCTTAACAGAGTCTTACAGATCTGGAAACGGTGCTTTTATGTGGCTGTCTTGATGGATCCTTTCATCTATTCAGTGAGGGAGACAGGACAAACATTGTCACCTTTATTTTCAGATAAGGAAATACTACCTTTTCTGTGTTACAGAAACAGAAGTTGTATGAGCCAGTGGTGATCCCTGTGGGCAAGCTGTTTCGGCCAAATGAGAGACAAGTGGCTCAGCTGGTCAAGAAGGATTACCTAGGAAAGGCAACGGTAGGTGGGACCACTCAGCTTCCCCCAGAGCTCCTGCGGCCTGGGCCACGCAGAGAAGAGGGTATCCTCCTTGTGGCTCTGGCCCGGGATGGCGATAAGAGGCTCGTTTCCAGGGTGGAGGTCTGAAAGATGTGCAATTGCTTCTAGTTTGTTTTCTCCAGGGCTCTCTTGTTCCTCCCTTCCAGTTTGACCTTGGAGGAGAGCTGCAGAGTTACTCCCAGGATGCTAAGTCTTGGGGACTGAGCCAATAGGAAATAAAACCACAGCTATGGGTGGCTTATCACCTGTGGAAAGAACATATTAGGGAAATGGACCATCACGGGGTCCTCTGGTCTTAATGCTCCTGGTAGTTCACATCTCAGGGTGCTGAAGAATTGGCCCTACTTCCATAGCCTTATGTCTAACTCCTTTAGCTGGACTCCCTCTGAATCTAGGTCTTAAATCCTTTCAGACAAGATTTGAAGTGAAACAGCAGCAGTCCCCTTCCTAAACTACATCAACACATTTGTAGGACTAAGGTTGCACAGTGACTGGGTGGGTGGGGCTGGCACAGCAGTAGAGGTCAAGAAAGCTTGGGTTCATGGAAACACTCCAAATATCTATCAACTGGTGGATGGATAATCCACATGTGATATATCCATACAATGGAATATTACTCAGTCATAAAAAGGAATGAAGTATGATATATGATAAAACATGGATGAACCATGAAAGCACTATGTTAAAGGAAATGAGCCAGGCACAAAAGGCCACATGTTGTGTCATTTCACTTATATAAATATCTTGGATGGGGGTAAATCTAGAGATAGAAAGCAAATTGGTGGTTGTCAGTTTAAGAGGTGGGGGGGTGGACTAACTGCTTTATGGCCATACCATTCTATTTTGGGGTGATGGAAATGTTTTGGAACTAGATAGAGATGGTAGTCATAAATACCACTGAAATTGTTCACATTACAATGGTTAATCTGTTATACAAATTACATCTTGATTTAAAAAAAAATTTTTTTAAGACAGAGAAAGAGCCAACCTGGGTTAATGGGGATGCTGGAATTTCTTTGTTTTTCATTTTCATTTTCATTTTTTGAGGCAGGATTTCACTCTGTTGTCCAGGCAAGAGTGCAGTAGCACCATCATGGCTCCCTATAGCCTTGGCTTTCTGAACTTGGGTGATTCTTCCACCTCAGCATCCCAAGTAGCTGGGACTAAGTAGCTCATACCACCATGCCCAGCTAATTTTTTTTGATCTTTTGTAAATGAAGTCTTACTATGTTGCCTAAGCTGGTCTTGAATTCCTGGGCTCAAGCAGTCCTCCAACCTTGGCCTCCCAAAGTGCTGGAATTATAGGTGTGAGCCACTGCTCCCAGCTGGCTGCTGGAATTTCTAACCCAGAGGATCATTAATCCGATCCTTAGCCACTGTTCACCTCTGAAACCAGACACAAGTGAGAATGCGTCTGTCGAAAGAAGGGAATCCGGGGGAAAAAACGCTGAAGGATGGGGAAACAGGGCTAGCGGAGCCTCATACCCTCCTGTCCTCAATTGCAGGTTGTGGCATCTGTAGTGGATCAAGACAGTTTCTCTGGGTTTGCCCCTCTGCAGCCACAGGTGAGGTGTCCTGACCTTCATCGATCTGAGTCTCCAGAGCTTTCCATGAAACACCCAACTGGGAGGAATGTTTGTGCTGAGTTGCCTTACTTAAGGGCCCTGTGATGCAGCTGAAGGTCTCTGCCTGCCCGTTCCCAGTCCCAGGTTCCATGGCTGGCAAGGAAACAAGGCCTTCCCGCAGATCCTCTGAAGTCAGCTCTCCTGCTTCTCCCAAAATGCCGGTCTTCACGTCTCTAAATTTTCAGCGATCTGTGTGTGTCTCTCCTGAAGCCTCGACCATTCTCTCAGAAAACTGAAACACAAGCTATGAAAGCCTCTTTAACAGAGCTTCTTTTGGGGTCCAGGGGCTAGTGGGCAACGCTGTGGGGCCTGGGGCCTGCAGGCTTGGCTTTGCCGGTTCCATCCACCTGCCCATGTGCAGGGGTTTCCCCTCAGGGTCATAGACATGGCGCCCAAAGTGAATCATTCTTCAGCCCAAGCCGGGATTGGAGAGATGGTCTCCAATGAGCTGGAATTCAGAGTTCCAATGGTTTAGGAATTCAGAGAGAGCTTCCTTGTGAGGGGAAGAGGGTAAAACAGGTTGAGAAAGACACGAGTTCTGTTGCAGTGGAGCCATGATGGACAAGAGTTTTGGGCCATGCCAGCAGGAGGGTTTTCTGAGGAGGGATACCCCTTCTCCAGGTCTGGAGTCCTTTATCTGTTTCTTCACAATGAGGTTGGAGAAAGCCTTGCTGAGGTCCCTTGGGCTTCAGTTCAGCCAGAGGACAACAGCAGGGGAAAGAGGCCCGGATAACTGGACTCCGTGATGTTCAGTGTAGAACAGGAAATGTGCGTTGAAAGGAGAGTCTTGCCTGCTCAGGGGATCCTGAGTGGATTTTAAATACTCAGAAGTGTCATGTGACAAAGTGGACATTAATTATAGAACAGAGCTTTTGGAAATCGTCCTGGGAAAGGGACAGAGCTCAAGGTCAAAAGCCCTCTCGTTGGGCTTGTTGACAGCTAACCTTCTCAGAAACGAGGTCTGGCTCACAATGAATTGCTGTGCTGGCGAAACCAGTGTCCGGGGAATTGGTGGGAGGTGTTATTTTCCAGTGTTTAGGCAGGGTGCCTGTGCCCTCCCCCTAGACGGTGTCCCTGTCACTCAGAAATGCAGTCTTTGATTTCCTGGTCTGGAAGAATGCGCAAATCACCATTTTTAACAGTCTGTTCTCTCTCCCCGTCCTTCCCTTCTTGTCCTTTCCTTCTCCGTTTTCCTGAATGTTCACTAGGCAGCTGAGCCTCCACCCAGACCCAAAACCCCAGAGATTTTCAGGTAAGTTAGATGTGGAGCCATATGCATAATATCCAAGCTCCAGGTCTGAATCGATGGCGGCAGAAGGGGTGAAGAAGATGAGGCTGGGGTCAGGGCCTAAATCCTGTGGGAGTCTCTAGAATGTCAGGCTTCTGTTTTCCAGGCTGGAAAAGAACGAAATAGTGGGGATGGGAATCTTGACTGTGGTGGGGCTGGCCTGACTGCAGCTACGCCATGTGCCAGTGTCCCCATATGAACATGCACCACCACCCACATAGCCAGGGGTGTTACTGAGGGAACATAGCCACCCTGGGACCCAGGCCCTTACCTAAGGTCACAGCTTAGTTTTTCACTGGCTGCGGCCCCCTCTGAAGGGATAGGTCAGAGCTTTTGGAGTCAGGAATCCAGAATGGTGTCCCCTTACCTGTGTGGATGTCTTCCACTCCCTACTGGCACATGTTTTCTGAGGAACTAAAGAGGAAGGGCTCAAGAAAAGAAGTCAGACCAGGTGTGGTGGCTCATGCCTGTAATCCTGGCACTTTGGGAGCTCGAGGTGGGAGGATTGCTTGAGCCCAGGAGTTCGAGACGAGCCTGGGCAACATAGCGAAATCTCATCTCGACAGAAAATTTAAAAATCGGCCGGGCTCGGTGGCTCAGCCTGTAATCTCGCGCCTTTGGGAGGCTGAGGTG